TCGCTGCTACTCAATTGACATTCCTACGAGAGAGAGCGAGGCTCTACCTCGGTAAACAACAACCACCACCACAACAACCGCGATGAGAATTTCTCACCTCGGATTTCAGTGCACGGCGGAGCAGCAGCTTCCTGTTACTTCGTGACATCACGCAGCAGGAGTTGACATGACGTCACTTGCGGGGTGCCGAACTCGTCGCAATAAACTCGCGACGGCTTTCATGAATATATTATGTTAATGAGCCGCCAGTCACCGGGAGTAGCTTTGCCCAAACAAGGATTCTAGTTGAACAGGTAAGGGAAGTGACCCAGGCAGAGGTGACGTCACGCTCAAGGGCGCAGTGGACCGGGTGGGATGAATACCTTGGTGACATGACGTCACTAGCGAGGTACACCTCCCCCTGGCGTTTCACGCCGATGAGGTAATGCTGAGTGGTGACGTCACAGAGCGGGGTTGGAGTTTAAGTTGATTTAGATTCATTTTCCCTTGCTCCCTCCCTTGATCAGAGACCCCTTGGGTGTGTGAGCTTAGCCACAACTGTGTGTACGTGTACACTGTGTGTGTGTACACTGTATGTGTGCACACTGTGTGTGTACACTGTGTGTGTACACACAGTGTGTGTACTACTCACTGTGTGTGTACACTGTGTGTGTGTACACTCTGTGTGTGTACGTACACTGTGTGTGTGTACGTACACACACACAGTGTTTGCAGTGTTTGCACACAGACTGTGCACACACACTTTGTACACACACAGTGCAAACACACACAGTGTACACACACAGTGTGTACGTGTACACACACACTGTGTGTGTACACACACACACAGTGTGTGTGTACACACTGTGGGGGGCCCAGTCATCTAAGTCAGTCGACCAATGGCATTTTTTCATCAATTTATTATTTTCCAAATTTGTTTTTCTATTTACGTAACTTTACCGAAAGAACCAAGAATACGGTAGCACATTCTCTATTTATTGCAGAGATTCAAGGTTCAACACCGACAGACACACCTGGCTACCCCAGTAACATTCACCAAAATATGCACAGTCTGCTTAACGGCGGCTATAAAACATAGCGTTGTGTCATTCACAACGCGCAGGTCATTGCATATTTGTGTCACGGTCAAAATTGCGGTAATTCCAAACATTATCCAAAAACTACACAACGGAGATGACGCTTCAATGATCGCCCCCTACCGACAGACTCATGTCCACGTGCAGGCCGGTGCAGGGCCACCTTGTGCCACACAGGGGCAGCTGCCACTTGGGGGGGGGTCCTTCGATTGTTTGAGATGAGATTCGATACGAAACACCGAGTTGCCGAGGCAATTAGGCAAGCGATTTATGAGAGCAAATGTGATGTTGGTAACGTAGTGAATGCTTGGGAGCTTCATTGTCTCTCGCTACTGCTGACAGATGTACCCAGCCCACAGCTCCACAGATACCAGCCGCTCCTCCTGTGCAGGTTCAGCTACGTACAGTGCAAAAGAAGTTTCAGAAACACACAGAGACTCACACAGAGACCAACAGATTAGCATGGTTGGCTACGTATGGTGCGAAATAAGTTCAACGTACACACAGAGACTCGGAGCAAGTTTGAGTCGCGTGCAGTCGTGGGCCATGAAAGTTGAATTGGCGCATGTTGCTACTGACAGTAGTTGAATACGGTTGGAAAGACGCTGATAGAGACACACACAGAGACTGACAAGAGAAAGGTGGACAGACACAGACAAGAGGAAGACAGAAAGAAAGATACAGAGATGACAGAGAAACAGTCAGCGAGAGAGACACAGAGGGGAACAGAGACACAGATGGACAGAGAGATGTTGAATCGAACAAACTTAACTCGCTCCATTGAAAGAGATTCCTCAATCTTTGCCCATCCCCGGAAGTCGTACCAGTTTCTATTTATTTCATTGTATGTGGTGTGTGCGTGTAAGCAATGTGGGATTTCAATGTAGACAGATATGAACAAGATCAGCAGACAAGATGTCTTTCATACTCTTTGGTTCTTTGAGTGAAGTCACGCAGGTAGAAAAAATAAAATAAATCACGACGTTTCTATCGCAACACGAGTGGTCGTCCTCAGGCGAAAACATCCAGACATTGTCGCGGCAGAAGTCACGTGAGCTACGGCACGTCGCAAAGATAAGGTGACCCCCCACCCCCGTGGCTCGCCCTGCTCAGCTGAGCATTGTTTTAATGCGGTGGGCTCACGCGAAATAGATTTCTGGAAGACGAAGGTACTTTCAAAACCCACTGGCTAAACTCTTTTATATAAGTGTTGTGTCCTTAACTAACCACACGTAGACGTCTGGTTGAGGCAACGCGTTTATTATAACTCTTTTGAACTCGGCTCTACACACTACTGTACCACGAAGGGGTACGGCCCCTTCCACTTGATAGCCTACGCGAGTGACAGCCTCCCTTCTATCGCAGCCTGCACACTCTGGGCTCTGCTACCCACGGGTCCCTTAGCCCGGCGTTAAGGGAAGACTGGACGACCCGTCCCAGCCAGGGTACGGGAGCTCACCTCTGGTCCGCTACAACCCGGCTCTGGCGAGAGCTCGGGGAGGGTCCCCGGGTGCTGGTCCAGTCTTCAGGTCTTCGGATGTCTTCAGGCTTGAGTTGATGAACACTGCCCGGCCGGACCAGGGGGCCGGGCTTTTAACCCCAGGTCGGGGTCACCCCTCCCCTCCTGATCTCCCCCCCCCTCCCAGAACCTTCTGGAAGGTCTTATCTTAAGGGGCCTTCGGGACCGGTGGGGGGTCAGGGGTGTTAGTCTCCGGTCACAGGGGGGGGGGGGGCGGGGGTTTAACCTTTGGTCGACCCCTACGCACCTCGCTCTCTCGGCTGCCCACTGTTGACCTGTGAACGTGGTGGCAGGTCAGCTTACAGTGCCTTGTTATGGCGCTTATGCACAACTTTGTGACTAACGCTGCACATTGTCGTTTTCATGCAGGGGGCGCTGCAAACCTACACGCTCCCTGCATGAATGATGGAGGTGCAGGGACAGACGTTCGATCGCGTTGGAATCGATCTGCAGATGGCGGTCTTCTCGCACGGCCAGCTCTGTCGCCTCATCTCGATCCCGCGATCCCGACCAAGTGAAAGTCCGCATCTAACCGGACCCCCGGCAAAGCCATCTACTTAACGACGAGAGAAAATTCACACGAAATATCTTTTCAATGAAGAAGCTTTTAATGAATAAATACAATTATCTAATTCTAATGAGTGTTGTTGTGGAGAATGTATCTACTAGGTGTGCTCTGCCTTGTAACCAAATACAAATCTGTACCAAAAATGCATTCCAAATGTGCTCTTAAAATTACCTTGCTATGAAGAAGATCAGCAGACACGACATCTTTCACTTATCGATCTCTCCACGAAACGAAGGAATGTTTTTCACAAACTATAACTAGCACAGCCTTCTGGGAGTGCATCATTGATTCAGTGCAAGCCACCTGTGGACTCTTATTGGTGCACAGCGTCTCAAGAGCAGCCGGGCTTGCTTCAACCGATAGTTTCGAACATCCTGACATTAATCAGCAAGGAGCATTTCTAGACCTAATTTGACAAAATCTACATCAAAACGTAAGAAAATATTATAATTCGTGTTGTAGAGAATGTACCTCCTTTTCGTGTAACTTTTGAGTGGTATGCCTGGTAACTGATGAATGATCCGAGTGTGCTCCCTATTTTGAAGACAATGAGTTGCTCCAGAGGCAGACGCTTCCTGAAAACGCGAAAATACCCTTTGACCTGTATCACAAGAACAATGAGCCTCACCTGAGTTATCTGTACAGGTTACTTCCAAAACACACACTTTGTCCTAACATCAATTAATCAATGTTTGACCCTTATAGACAAAATGTTAGATATACGCACACAATCAGACAAGTATTGATTCTAAATTATTGAGTCATTTTAACTAAATTTTATTACTGCACTGAAATATACTGCATCAGGTTACATCGCATTAACAATAATATATTAAAAAAAACATATGCACCGTCTGCTAACAGTGTATGTACAACATACTATTGCGTCATTCAAAACGAATAGGCCAATGCATGCTGGCGTTTGGGTCAAAATGGATCAAATTATAAACATTACCTACAAACTCCACAACTGAGATGCCACATCAACCATAGCCCCCTACTGACAGGCTCTTGTCCACATGCAGGCCGGTGCAGGGCCACCACCTTGTGCCACACAGGGGCAGCTGCTACTTGGGGATGCTCTTCGAGTGTTCGAGACGAGATACGATACAAAACTCTGAATTGCCAGAGGCGATTAAGCAAGCACCATATAAATGCAATTATTAGAACATAGTGAATGCTTGGGAGCTTATTGGCTGTCGCTCCTGGTTAGAGATCTACCCAACCCACAGATCCACAAAGACTGGCCGCTCTTCCCCTGCAATTTGCACCTAGGAATTTAGTGTTCAACTTCACATTCTTGTCATTAAAGGCCTGTGACAAAGGTGCATCTATTGCAGCAACATCGTCTCTGGCTTACACATTTACCGGGTCTCCATATGACTTTGCATTGTCTCGGAGGAAGTCCACCCACACCTCCACTTCCACAAACTGCTGGGAGTTGCCTCGCTCTGCCTCACAGTCAGAATTCTCCTCATGCTTCACGTTGAATCGATCGATGTGAAGGTCCGATTTTGGAGTTGAATTTTCATCTTCACATTTGACCTTCACTTCTTCACTCTTCACCATCACTTCTTCACATTTGACTTTCACTTCTTCGCTCTTCACCATCACTTCTTCAGATTTGACCTTCACTTCTTCACATTTCACCTTCACCTCTTCATATTTCACCTCGATACCTTTAAAAGTGTCCAAGCTGGGATTTTCTTCCGGTTCTTGATTCATGAGGGATGGGCTCATTGTGGCACTTTGACTGTCACAAGCTGATTTCAGAATCCACTCCTTGTGGGTCTTCTGATGCTTGTGAGTTCTCTTGTGTTTTTGAAGATGTGGTGACTGTGCAAACGCCTTCCCACACACACTGCACTTCAAGGGTTTCTCTCCCGTGTGTGTTCTCTGGTGTACATGAAGATTTGATGAACGTGTAAACGCCTTCCCACACACACTGCACTTGAAGGGTTTCTCTCCCGTGTGTGTTCTCTGGTGTTTTTGAAGAGTAGATGAAACTGAAAACGCCTTCCCGCACGGAGTGCACCTGAAGGGTTTCTCCACCGTGTGTGTTCTCTGGTGTGCTACAAGAGCAGATGAATCTGAAAACGCCTTCCCGCACACACTGCACTTGAAGGGTTTCTCTCCCGTGTGTCTTCTCTGGTGTCTTACAAGAGTAGATGACTGTGCAAACGCCTTCCCACACACAGTACACTTGAAGGGGTCTCTCCCGTGTGTGTTCTCTGGTGTGTTACAAGAGAAGATGAATCTGAAAACGCCTTCCCACACACACTGCACTTGAAGGGTTTATCTCCCGTGTGTGTTCTCTGGTGTGCTACAAGAGTAGATGAAAGTGTAAACGCCTTCCCACACACACTGCACTTGAAGGGTTTCTCTCCCGTGTGTGTTCTCTGGTGTACATGAAGATTTGATGAATCTGAAAATGCCTTCCCACACACATTGCACTTGAAGGGTTTCTCTCCCGTGTGTGTTGTCTGGTGTTTTACAAGAGTAGATGAAAGTGTAAACGCCTTCCCACACACACGGCACTTGAACGGCTTCTCTCCTGTGTGAGTTCTTTGGTGCAAGGTCAAATTTCCAGTACGATCTGTGCTGTATGCACACCGTCGCATTGATGCCTTTTTGCACTGAGCTGCGCCGAGTGCCTTTGCTCCATCAGACAAATTCTGCAGAGGAAGCAACAGAGGAAGCGTCAGCTGCAGACAGAAAAAATTATATCTACAACATCTACACGTCAGTATCGATGCACAGAGGAATGCATACACACAGTAACACGTGACTTACACATCTATACTTATTCATATATTCATGATATAGTGAAAAAGTGTCCCAAATTCATCACACGGGCTGTTATGGCACACAATGAGAGGGCAAATGGTCATAAACGTGCCTGGAAGCCATCGTATCTTCAAAATTAATGTTAATACAAAACTCCGAGCACACAATTTCGGCTGTCTGGCTTCAAAAGGAATATTTAGGAAAGCTAAATTCAGCTGACATAGCAAAGGGTGTTGAAAATAATACTATGTGTTATGCAGAAATGCATAAATTAATGTTCAATCACAACGTAGAGGTGTGAAGCCAGGCACAGATGTCCTTGAATGCTGGGATGAACAGTTCCGACTTCAGCTGCACGTGTGCTGTGATAACTTCCTGACTCCATTCTTACAAAGATTTGCAGAGGAAAACAAAAATATAAACTACCGTTTTGATATAACCCCCGTGCTCAATAGAGTTAATAGACTTTACTGCAAATACAAACTTGACCCTGTCACACACTCAGAGGTGGAGCCAGGATTTTCAGGTAGGAGGGGCAACCCCTTCAGTAATGAAAAATGATAGGAGTTAGTAAGCAAGGAGTTGTTAATAAGGAGTTGTTAGTAAGTAAGGACTTGTCCTATGCTTTTTATTGGACGTGGGTGATCGGCATCGCGCTCGCTGAAGGTGTTTGCCATCAGGGAAGTCGTGTACTGTATACGCAACTGAGCACAATTCTGAGTCGCTTGTAACTGCTTTGCCGTTAATTATTGCCAATTATGGACTCGGACTGTTGTCCTCTCATAGAGTCCCTGGCACGTAATAATATGCCACACGGTGGCAGTGGGGGTCGCAAAATGCTGATTTATCTATATTTATAAAAGCGAAATGTGTGGATGTGTCTGTTCGAAAGTGTTTAGCATACTTCCCAACATGCTACACACTTGAAATTTGGCATGTGGGTAGGTTCCATACTGTACACAATGAAAAAAAGTATGAAAATATACTTTTGTATTTTGTATGACCATGAAGTTTGTGGCGTCAACCCGCAACACACCTGAGTTAAGTACTCTGGAATGCTTAGAGCTGTTCACAGCGTGCCGGGAGATTTTAGGTGGTGCTTCGCTCCTGGCCGATTAAGCCATTGTCTTCTGGGAGTTTCAATACATATCCGTGCGAAGAACGGGTACAACAGCTATATTAAATATGAAGCAGAACATTACATCTGTTTGTTTGTGTGTAGCAGCAAAACCTCTCCAACGCTGAGCTCTGGCGTCATGACATTTTCACAGCTTATGCTGTTTGGAATTTCTAAGTGAACGTGACTATTTTCAGCTCGACACGTCATTCCCTTTCCGAGTGGCAAAAATCGACCTTGTGTAGCAATGGATTAAGGTTAAATTTCCTTGAGTGAAAACATTTGATTTAGGTAACTTGATTTGTTTCGGCTTTTTTTCTTTCTTGCAAGCATCAACATTTTAAAGGGTTTTTTCAGTGAAATATATGGGAATATGAAATTTGAAATTTATCCAAGAGAAGAATCCAAGTCCCGGGCGAAGCCGGGTAGTAAAGCGAGTTACTAATAAACCCCAATGATCCGATCAAAATTAGGGATTTCGATCGGATCGTTGGGGGGCACGTGCCACCTCACCCCCACTGGCTCCACCACTGCCACACACTGGCATGGTTCACAGGTGGTGGTGTGTCCAGACCCACGCCTGGCCACCTTCACCTGCTCAGAATTCATGCTTCCTCACTCCAAGTAGAGTGAACACCGCCACGCGTCTAGAGTGTACACCGCCACGCGTCTAGAGTGAACACCTCCACGCGTCTAGACTGAACACCGCCACGCGTCTAGAGTGAACACCACCACACGTCTAGAGTGAACACCGCCGCACGTCTAGAGTGAACACCGCCACGCGTCTAGAGTGAACACCGCCACACGTCTAGACTGAACACTGCCACGTGTCTAGAGTGAACACCACCACGCGTCTAGAGTGAACACTGCCACGCGTCTAGAGTGAAACTTAAGCAATATGCTCTTTGGTTATTTCGGTAAAGTCACGTAGAAAAAATTAATTCATGAAATAATAACATACGTTTTGATTGCAACACAAGCAATCATCATCAGGTACAAATGAAAGAGAAAACAAACCTAGTAAACTTAGAAACGTATTGCAATACAACACAGAGAGACGGCTAACATAACAGTCAACGCCCCACCTGGATGATAACGTTCTTCCAAAGATTGCTCAATTTGAGAGAGAGACAAAACACAGACACAGAGACACATAGACAGAGAGAGAGATAACACAAAGACACACAGAGAGAGATACACACATAGGCACACAGAGAAACAACGCCTCTGTGTCGAGGCCTTAAATAGAGAGGGGGGGTAGAGAAATGAGCATGTCAATGCAAGGCCGTAGCCATGGAGTCAACATTGGGGGGGACCAAATCTTCCAGGGGGTCGGGGATCTGGGGTCTCCCCCCCCCCCCAGAATAAAATTAAATTTGAAAACTAATTGCCTGCAATTTCCTGCTTAAAATATTTAACAATTTCACTAACACATGGGATGGAATTTTTTTTAAATCTGATACAATGTCTAATATTGTATTGTATTACATTGCTCTGTTTTATCTTTTTTACCTTTTCTTGTTTCATAGTATGTAATGGCAGAGATTAGTGATTCATAAAGTACAACGCAATCATATAAACAGAAATTACACGAGCACACAGAGAGAGAGAGAGAAAGCACACTTAATCAAACTGAGTACAATTAGGAAATGTAATGCAATGTAACACAGAGTCGTCAACACACAATGAACGCATAGCCTGGTTCTTTACGTTCATCCAAAGATTGCTCAACTAAGCAAGATAATTGAAGAAAACGCGATCAGGCAAGGGCAGAAGGCAAGGCCCCTCGTGGCTAGGCCCCACGCTGTAAAGTTCCAACCTGGCCATCGCTTCCATGCTCGCTGCTACTCAATTGACATCCCTACGAGAGCGAGGCTCTACCTCGGTAAACAACAACCACAACAACCACCACAACAACCACCACAACAACCACCACAACAACCACCACAACAACCACAACAACCACCACCACCACAACCGCGATGAGAATTTCTCACCTCGGATTTCAGTGCATGGGCGGAGCAGCAGCTTCCTGTTATCTCGCGACTTCACGCGGCAGGTGACATGACGTCACTTGTGGGGAACAGAAACACTCGCCTCCCGCAAAGAGCGGATCTGTACCTTAAATAATGTTAATGAGCCCGTCCCATACGTGGAGGGATGGGGCGTGGGTGCTGAACCGGTCGCAAAAAATTCGCGACGGCTTTCATGAATGCATTATGTTAATGAGCGGGCAGTCACAGGGCGTAGCTTTGCCCAAATAAGGATTGGCACCGGAACAGAAATCGGCAGCGGCCGAACGGAGGTGACATCACACCCAAGAGAGCAGTGGTTGGGGGTGGGCGACATGACGTCACTAGCGAGGCCCACCGCCCCCTGGCGTTTGACGCCGATGAGGTCACGCTGAGCGGTGACGTCAGAGAGCGGGGTCAGAGTTCAAGTTTGTTGACAGAAGGGGCGCGGCAGTGACGTGCTGAGCGCTGCGCTCCCGACCAGCCGTGTTCCATTCCCGCTCGTGGCCAACACCGCCAGTGACGATTTTCTGAACCGGTCCTGAGCCTCCCCTACGTCGACTCGGCCTCAAACGAGTACCCGGTGCGGTGTGTAGTAAACATCGCCACTAGGGAGACAAAGGCGGCCCGGCGTGGTGCTGGCCACCCACCCCCTCATGTGCCGTCCCACCCTTAATAGGTGCTCGCTAACAGCACTTGCCCCTACATTCTGTCCAGGCTATATGGGGGATTTTTGTCTTTGTGTTAGGTGCTCACTAACAGCACTTGCCCCAACATTTTGTCCAAGCTATACGGGGATCTTTGTCTTTGTGTTAGGTGCTCGCTAACAGCACTTGCCCCAACATTATTTCCTGGCTATATGGCGGGTCTTTGTGTTAGGTGCTCACTAACAGCACTTACCCCAACATTCTGTCCAAGCTATACGGGGGATCTTTGTCTTTGTGTGTTGGGAGCAAGTTTGAGTGGCGTGTAGCCGTGGGAGCTGAACGGGCGCCTGCTGCTACTGACAGTCGTTGACTACGGTTGGACAGACGCTGATAGACAGACAAGACAGGTGGACAGACACAAACAAGAGGAACACAGAGACAGAGAAAGATAGACAGAGAGACACAGGCAGAGAGAGAAACAGGGAAACAGAGACACAGACGGACAGAGAGATGTTGAACAAACTTAACTCGCTCCATTGAAAGAGATTCCTCAATCTTTGCCCATCTCCGGAAGTCCTTCCAGTTTCTATTTAGTTCATTGTGTGTGGTGTGTATGTGTAAGCAATGTGAGATATCGATGTACACAGATATGAACAAGATCAGCAGACGACGTATTTCATACTCATTGGTTCTTTCGGCAAAGTCACGTAGGTAGAAAAAATAAAATAATAAAAATAATAAATCACGACGTTTCGATCGAAACACGAGCGGTCGTCCTCAGGTGAAAACATCCAGACATTGTCGCGGCAGAAGTCACGTGAGCTACGGCACGTGACAAAGATAAGGTGACCCCCCCTCTCCCCCGCCGTGGCTCACCCCGCTCAGCTGAGCATCGTTTTAATGCGGTGGGCTCACGCGAAATTGATTTCTGTAAGACGAAGGTACTTTGAAAACCCACTGGCTAAACTATTTTCTATAAGTGCACAACTTCATCTGTGATGAACGCTGCACTTTCCATCGTTTTCATGCAGGGGGCACTGCAAACCTACACGCTCCCTGCATGAACGATGGAGGCGCAAGGACAGACGTTCGATCGCGTTGGAATCGATCTGCAGACGGCGGTCTTCTCGCACGGCCAGCTCTGTGTCGCCTCATCTCGATCCCGCGATCCCAACCAGGTGAAAGTCCGCATCGAACCGAACCCCCGGCAAGGCCATCTACTTAACGACGAGAGAAAATTCATACCAAATGTCGTTTTAAAATAAGTCTTCCAGATGTAAAATGAGAAGCTTTTAATGAAGAAATACAATTATCAAATTCAAAACAATCAAATTAAAACTGTTTCATTTTAAAACTTCAAAACAGAGCCTCGGGAGCTTGCGTGGAGGCGTCGTTCGTGTGCAATTTTTTTCGTGACTTTCCTGGCCCCAGGCTGTAAATGGTTGAGGGGCACCGCAGGCGGTCAGGCTTGCTTCAACCCTTGGTTGTGAACATCCAGACGTTAATCAGCAAGGACCATTTCTCGTCCTAGTTCACCAACATATAAGACGTCATGCAAAATTCTCATGAGTGTTGTTGTGGAGAATGTATCTACTAGATGTGCTCTGCCTTGTAACCGAATACAAATCTGTACCAAAAATGAATTTCAAATGTGCACTTAAAATTACTTCCTTGCTATGAAGCAGATCAGCAGACACGACATCTTTCATTTATCGATCTCTCCATGAAACAAAGGAATGTTTTACACAAACTAAAACTAGCACAGCCTTCTGGGAGTGCATCATTGATTCAGTGCAAGCCACCTGTGGACTCTTATTGGTGCACAGCGTATCAAAAGCAGCCGGGCTGCTTCAACCGATAGTTTCGAACATCCAGACGTTAATCAGCAAGGAGCATTTCTAGACCTAGTTAGACAAAATCTACGTCAACACGTAATACAAAATTATAATTCGTGTTGAAGAGAATGTATCTCCTCTACGTGTAACTGATTAATAATCCGAGTGTGCTCCCTATTTCAAAGACAATGAGTTGCTCCAGAGGGAGATGCTTCCTGAAAACACAAAAATACCCTTTGACCTGTATCACAAGAACAATGAGTCTCACCTGAGTTATCTGTACAGGTTACTTCCAAAACACACACTTTGTCCTAACATCACTTATTTAATGTTTGACCCTTATAGACAAAATGTTACATGTATGCACACAATCAGACAAGTATTCATTCTAAATAATTGAGTCATTTTAAAAATTTGTATTACTGCACTGAAATATACTGCATCAGGTTACATCGCATTAACAATAAGCTATTTTAAAAAAACCGCACCGTCTGCTTAACAGTGTATGTACAACATACTATTGCGCCATTCAAAACGAGTTGGCCATTGCATGCTGGCGTCTGGGTCAAAATGTATCAAATTCTAAACATTACCTACAAACTCCACAACTGAGATGCCACATCAACCATCGCCCCCTACTGACAGGCTCTTGTCCATATGCAGGCCAGTGCAGGGCCACCACCTTGTGCCACACAGGGGCAGCTGCTACTTGGGGGTGCTCTTCGAGTGTTTGAGACGAGATACGATACAAAACTCTGAATTGCCAGAGGCGATTAAGCAAGCACCATATAAATGGAATTATTAGAACATAGTGAACGCTTGGGAGCTTATTGGTTCTCGCTCCTGGTTAGAGATCTACCCAACCCACAGGTCCACAAAGACTGGCCGCTCTTACTCTGCAGGTTGAACCTAGGAATTGAGTGTTCAACTTCATTCTTGTCATTAAAGACCTGTGACAAAGGTGCATCTATTGGAGCGACATCGTCTCAAGCTTACACATCTACCGGGTCTCCATTTGACTTTGTATTGTCTCGGAGGAAGTCCACCCACACTTCCACTTCCACAAACTGCTGGGAGTTGCCTCGCTCTGCCTCACAGTCAGAATTCTCCTCCTGCTTCACATTGCCTCCATCGATGTGAAGGTCCGATTTTGGAGTTGAATCTTCATCTTCACATTTTACCTTCAGTTCTTCGCTCTTCATCATCACTTCTTCACATTTACCTTCACCTCTTCATATTTCACCTCGATACCTTTAAAAGTGTCCAAGCTGGGATTTTCTTCCGGTTCTTGTTTCATGAGGGATGGGCTCATTGCGGCACTTTGACTTTCACAAGCTGATTTCAGACTCCACTCCTTGTGGATCTTCCGATGCTTGTGTGTTCTCTGGTGTCTTTGAAGATTTGATGAAAGTGCAAATGCCTTCCCACACACACTGCACTTGAAGGGTTTCTCTCCTGTGTGAGTGCTCTGGTGTGTTACAAGAACAGATGAACGTGCAAACGCCTTCCCACACACACTGCACTTGAAGGGTTTCTCTCCTGTGTGAGTTCTCAGGTGCCGTGTCAAATGGTCAGCACGATCCGTGCTGTATGCACACCGGTCGCATTGTTGCCTTTTTGCACCGATCTGCACCGAGTGCCTTTGCTCCATCAGACAATTTCTGCAGAGGAAGCGACAGCTGCAGACAGAAAAAGGAATATCCCCACCATCTACACGTCAGTATTGATGCACAGAGGAATGCATATATAGTCACACGTGACTTACATGTCTATACTTCTTCATATATTCATGATATAGTGAAAAAGTGTCCCAAATTCATCACACGGGCTGTTATGGCACACAATGAGAGGGCAAATGGTTATAAACGTGCCTAGAAGCCCTAGTATCTTCAAAATGAATGTTAACCCAGAACTCCGAGCACACAATTTCGGCTTTCTGGCTTCAAAAGGAATATTTATGAAAGCTAAATTCAGCTGACATAGCAAAGGGTGTTGAAAATAATACTGTTTGTGTTATGCAGCAATGCATAAATGAATGTTAAATTGCAACTTAGAGGTGTGAACCCAGGCACAGATGTCCTTGAATGCTGGGATGAACAGTTACGACTTCTGCTGCACGTGTGCTGTGATAACTTCCTGACTCCATTCTTACAAAAAGTTCCAGAGGAAAACAAAAATAAACTACTATTTTGATATAACCTCCGTGCTCAATAGAGTTAATAGACTTTACTGCAAATACAAACTTGACCCTGTCACACACTCAGAGGTGGAGCCAGGATTTTCAGGTAGGGCGGGCAACCCCTCCAGCAATGAAAAATGATAAGAGTTGTTAGTAAGGAGTTGTTAGTAAGGAGTTGTTAGTAAGTAAGGAGTTGTTATTAAGTAAGGAGTTGTTAGTAAGGAGTTGTTAGTAAGTAAGGAGTTGTCAGTAAGTAAGGAGATGTTAGTAAGGACTTGTCCTATGCTTTTTATTCGACGCCTGTGATCGGCATCGCGTTCGCTGAAGGTGTTTGCCATCAGGGAAGTCGTGTACTGAATACGCAACTGCACACAATTGTGAATTTGTGTCTGTTTGAAATGTTCAGCAAACTTCCCAACATGCTACAAACTTGAAATTTGTAATGTGGATAGCTTCCAGACTGGACACAATGCACAAAGTATTCAAAAACTACTTTTTTTATTTTGGGGGGGTGGGGGAAATAACCATGGAGTGTGTGGCGTCAACCCGCAACACAGATAAGGGAATATGAAATTTGAAATTAATCCAAGACAAGAATCCAAGTCCCGGGCGAAGCCGGGTAATGAAGTTAGTTACTAATAAACCCCAATGATCCCATCGAAATTAGGGATTTCGATCGGACCGTCGGGGGGGCACGTGCCACCACACCCCCACTGGCACCACCACTGTCACGCACTGGCATGGTTCACAGGTGATGGTGTGTCCAGACCCACGCCTGGCCACCTTCACATGCTCAGAATTCATGCTTCCTCACTCCACCAAGTAGAGTGAACACCGCCACGCGTCTAGAGGGAACACCGCCACGCGTCTAGAGTGAACACCGCCACGCGTCTAGAGTGAACACCGCCGCGCATCTAGAGTGAACACTGCCGCGCGTCTAGAGTGAACATCACCACGCTGTTGAGGAGCCTCACCTTGTGATGTGGGTAGGTCGCTTCTGAAAACAAAAGTGGTACAGCAGCTCAAGCGGGCTGGGCCTGGCAAAAAAGAATGAAATAAAAACTGCGTGAATATTTAAAAGAAAAACAAAGTGACAAAGTGGCGAGCCGTGTGAAGACAAATTAAACTTAAGCGAGAGAATTTAAGTAAACGCAATCAGGCGAGGGCAGGAGGCAAGGACCCGCGTGGCTAGGCCCCGCGCTGTAAACTTTCACATGGACATCGCTACTCAATTGACATCCCTACGAGAGAGAGCGAGGCTCTACCTCGGTAAACAACAACCACCACCACCACTACAACCACCAACACAACAACCACCGCAACAAACACCACCACAACAACAACCACAACAACCACAACCACCACCACAACCACCATAACCACCACAACAAACACCACCACAACAACCACCACAACCACCACCACTACCACAACCACCACAACAACCACCACAACAACCACCACCACAACCACCGCAACAACCACCACCACAACAACCACCACCACCACAACCACCACCACTACAACCACCACCACAACCACCACCACAACAACCACCACAACCACCACCACAACAACCACAACAACCACCACAACAACCACAACAACCACCACAACAACCACCACAACAAGTAAAACAAAGTGACAAAGTGGCGAGCCGAGTGAAGACAAATTAAACTTAAGCGAGAGAATTGAAGCAAACGCGATCAGGCGAGGGCAGGAGGCAAGGCCCCGCGTGGCTAGGCCCCGCGCTGTAAATTTCCAACCTGGACATCGCTTCCATGCTCGCTGCTACTCAATTGACATCCCTACGAGAGAGAGCGAGGCTCTACCTCGGTAAACAACAACCACCACCACCACCACAACAACCACCACAACAATCACCACAACAATCACCACAACCACAACCGCGATGAGAATTTCTCACCTCGGATTTCAGTGCACGGCGGAGCAGCAGCTTCCTGTTACTTCGTGACGTCACGCACAAGCTGTCGAACATTAAGAGATGTTAAGTTTGACCCAATGTAGAGATCACAGTGGCGAGTCCTATATGGGCAGTTCAATGTAAATCTTAAGGCCGAGTGATAGATGGAATCAAGCTTCTTCAGTACAGTACTTGGGGCTGATTTATACACGATGTCACAGTAGTCAATTAGAGGCAGTATGGTAGCTTTTATCAATTCCAAACGGAACATTGGGGGGAAGCAGTGCTTGTGTCGATCCAGAAAACCAATTTTTATCTTTGTCTTTTTACCAATATAATCAATGTGATATTCAAAATTCAATTTTGAATCCAGGATGACCCCAAGATACTTATAGATCTTGACTTGCTCTATTTGACAATTATTTAAGGAATGTAATTGGGGAAAAATAACTTCCTGCTTTAGTCCTGGTAAGAAGCATAGCACCTTGGTTTTGGAGGTATTCAGGACTAGTTTAAGAGCAACTAGCTGATGTTGTAGTTTGTTGAAATCACCCTGTCGCTTAGCAATCACGTCATCTGTAGAGCGGCCAGCAGTAATCAGTATCGTGTCATCTGCAAAAAGATTTACCCTGGAATGATCCAGGTCAGTGCCCAAGTCATTGACAGAAAGAGACAACAAAAGGGGGCCGAGGATGGAACCCTGTGGAACCCCATTTGTTATCTTAACACTGTTTGACCTCCAACCATCTGTGAATACAGTTTGGGTGCGAGAAAAGAGGTAATTTTGTAACCATTTTACTGCGTTGTCGGAAAAACCGAGGCAACTTAGTTTACTAAGCAGGGTGTTGTGGTCTACTGTATCAAAAGCTTTGGACAGGTCTAGAAAAAGACAGGCACAGTATTGCTTATTATCAAGGCTACTGTAAATGTGATTCAGAGAGTCTAATGCAGCAGATGTGGTGCTGTATTTTTTTCGGAACCCAGATTGTTTTAGATGTAGGAGATTGTTGGTGTCCAGGAAACTGCTAATTTGGTAGGTCAATAGTTTTTCAAAAATTTTCATCAACGGGGACAAAATTGAGATAGGTCGGTAGTGATTTGGATCATCTTTAGGGCCCCCTTTGTGAAGTGGATGGACATAGAAATGTTTCCATTCTAGAGGAACTGATGCTTCTTTGATGGACAGGTTGAAAAATGGGCTATAGGTTTGTATATTAGGTGACCAACAGTTAGTAGAGCAAAGACAGGAATACTATCTGCTCCGGTAGAGGAGGACCCTTTGAGGTAGGACAGTTGTTTCAGAACATTACTTTCGTGGATTGGCTGGAAACTAAATTCGTTTAATGTTTGGACAGAGGTGTAGGAATTTGCATGAGCAGGGGTGACTCCCAATACATTATCAAAAAGATTACCAGCTTCAGAAAAATGAAGGTTAAAATTGTCAACTATTTTTTTAGGGATCAGAAAAATATTTCCCATTTCGGTTAAGCTCAATGGGCAGATTGTCTGTTTTGGATGCCTTTTCGATACATTTGATTGTTTTCCAGAAAATCCTGGCATGTCCATGTGATTCCAGGAGAGTGAAGGAAAAATAGGCATTTTTTGCATGCCGTATTTTTTTTACGCATCTATTCCTTAAAATCCTGTATTCTAGCCAGTCATTGACCAAATTACTTTCTGAGCACATGCCCAAGCCTTGTCCCTAGTTTTCATGAGCTTAGTAATCAAAGGATCAAACCATGGTGGGCGGTTGCTTTTAGTTTTAATCTAACCAACGGAGCATGTTTGTTAAGAATTTGGAGAAACGTGTACCTGAAGGTCTCCCAAGCCTGTCAGGTTGGGGATATCACAGACCTTGTCAATATCCGAGTGAAGCACATCATTATTAAATGCCTGAGTGCTGAAGTGTATCATAGAGTGCTTCTCAGCCAATTTAGGGGGGGCTTTGGGTCTGGCTGATGATCTCACACCAAAAATGAAGGAGTGATCACTAAGGTTATTACCCAGAACACCAGTAAGTGTGAAATTGTGAGGGGCATTTGTCAATAGGACGTCAAGCAGAGATGACTGTCCCGGATTTTTTAGGTTGGGTCTTGTGGGGATATTTATTAATTGAAACAGGTTAAATTTATCTGTAAAATTTGTGGCCACGGCCGGCGGGTCTAGCAAATTCCAATTTAGTTCACCCACTAAAACTATTTCACCTTTAGGGAGGCCCCCAAAAAGCTCTCTCAGTGCAGATGCAGCTTCAACATCCTTCCCAATAGGCGGTCTATAGCAGCACACTACCAATATCTGTTGATTATTTGGAAGAGTTATTTTGAGAGCCAAACCTTCAAAGCAACATTTTTTAAACAAGGAGTTAGCTGGTGAACATGCAATAGTATTACGAACATAGATGGCAATTCCACCTCCTTTAGATCCTCGATCAAGCCGAAAAAGGTTGTAGTTGTCAATCGTAATCTGCAAGTCATTGACGGCAGGAGTGAGAAATGTTTCTGTTAGGCAAAAAAATGTCCGGGTCAAGATTTGCCACTTCTAGTTTTAGTTGACTTAATTTAATCACAAGCCCTCTGATGTTGACATGTAGAACACCAACACCTTTCCTGCCAGAAAAATCTACAGAATTATACGAGTTCTTTATATTTTGGCTAGGATGAAGCTCAATACCACCCAGAAATAAGAAAAGTAGAATTAATAGTTTCCACAAGTATTTTCTGTGAAAGGATGAAGAGCGGTGAACCTTGGACGAATAGCAGCAGAATGCAGATCGTGTTATTTTTATGAGCAGAATGAAGTTTGGAAGGAGTCCTGGTGAAGTAATGGGACAAAGATAGGGTTTAAAAGGATACAATGATGGAGTGTAGAAGTGTCTATGAGCTGTTTCATTTGCAGGTGTAGTGGCAAATCGAGCAACAAGTAAGGACGCAAAGTAACGAGGGTAGCCGTTTGTAGAGTTGAATGTGGCACTAGATATGGCCGGGAATGACAGTAGTATGATACACAGCAGGAGAATTGCCATCTTTAAGATAACAAAGATCTACAACAGTTAAACACACAAGTGAAAAACGCACAGGTAGGCCGATCGCGAGTAATGTCTTGCCACACTCGTCGCACATGTACGGCTTCTCGCCCGTGTTTTTGAGTTTGTGGTGGCGTTCAGCTCCAGGTCACGAAGTTGACTAGCCATTCAAATTCTTGCTGTTTGTAAGCACACCTTGGTGCTTTGCTATTTCGCTACGCTAGCGTGCATGTGACCTAACACTCTTTTTTTTCAAGGAGCATCTTTGCGAACAGGGCAATAACCTGATCAAGCAGGTAAAGGGTAAAAACCTCAAGGGGCGGGTTAAGACGGTCGAGGGCTTCCTGCAGAAGCTTCGGCTCCTTGATAACGGAGAGCGTTTCTGAGCAAACCAGGCAGCAGCAGATTTAGGCAGACCCAAGGAGCAGCATCTCAGGCAGGCCCAGGGAGCAGCAGCTCAGGCAGGCCCAGGGAGCAGCAGCTCAAGTAGACCCAGAGAGCAGCAGCTCAAGTAGAGCCAGGGAGCAGCAGCTCTGGAAGACCCATGGAGCAACTCAGGGAGCAGCAGCACAGACAGACCCGTGGAGCAGTAACTTTGGCAGGCCACGAAAGCAGCAGCTCAGACAGACCCAGGGAGCAGCTCAGGCAGCCACGGGGAGCAGCAGCTCAGGCAGACCCAGGGAGCAGCTCAGGCAGGCCCAGGAAGCAGCAGCTCAGGCAGACCCAGGGAGCAGCTCAGGCAGGCCCAAGAAGCAGCAGCTCAGGCAGCCACGGGGAGCAGCAGCTCAGGTAGACGCAAAGAGCAGCAGCTCAGGCAGACCCGGGGAGCAGCAGCTCAAACATATACTGCGTTATGGGATTTCTATTCGCATGAATGACGCTCTGCTACCCACGGATCCCTTAGCCCGGCGTTAAGGGAAGACTGGACGACCCGTCACAGCCAGGGTACGGGAGCTCACCTCTGGTCCGCTACAACCCGGCTCTGGCGAGAGCTCGGGGAGGGTCTCAGGGTGTCCGAGCCACCTCGGTCCGCTACAACCCGGCTCTAACAAGAGCCTCGGTTGAGGGTCCACGGGTGCTGGTCCAGTCTTCAGGTCTTCGGATGTCTTCAGGCTTGAGTTTGTGAACACTGCCCCGGCCCGTCCAGAGGGCCGGACTTTTATCCCCTGGTCGGGCTCACCCTCCCCTCCTGACCCCCCCTCCCAAAACCTTCTGGAAGGTCTTATCTTAATGGGCCTTAGGGACGGGTGGGGGTCAGGGGTGTTAGTCTCCGGTCACGGGCGGTGGGGGCAGGGGTTTACTTTGGTCGACCCCTATGCACCTCGCTCTCTCTCTCTCTCGGCTGCCCCCAGTTGACCCATGAACGTGGTGGCAGGTCAGCTTACAGCGCCTTGTTATGGCGCTTACGCACAACTTCGTGACTAACGCTGCACGTTCCGTCGCTGCAAACCTACGCGCCCCTGCATGAACGACGGAGGTGCAGGGACAGACGTTCGATCGCGTTGGAATCGATCTGCAGACGGCGGTCTTCTCGCACGGCCAGCTGTGTCACCTCATCTCGATCCCGTGATCCCAACCAGGTGAAAGTCCGCATCGAACCGAACCCCCGGCAAGGCCATCTACTTAACGACGAGAGAAAATTCACACCAAATATCGTTTTCAATGAATAAGCTTTTAATGAAGAAATACAATTATCTAATTCAAAACAATCAAATTAAAACCGTTTCATTTTAAAACTTCAAAACTGAGCATCGGGAGCTTGCGTGGAGGCGTCGTTCGTGTGCAATTTTTTTCGTGACTTTCCTGGCCCTAGGCTGTAAATGGTTGAGGGGCACCGCAGGCAGTCAGGCTTGCTTCAACCCTTGGTTGTGAACATCCAGACGCTAATCAGCAAGGGCCATTTCTAGTCCTAGTTCACCAACATATAAGACGTCATGCAAAATTCTAATGAGTGTTGTTGTGGACAATGCATCTACTAGATGTGCTCTGCCTTGTAACCGAATACAAATCTGTACCAAAAATGCATTTCAAATGTAGTCTCTCAAATTACTTCCTTGGTATGACGCAGATCAGCAGACACGACATCTTTCATTTATCGATCTCTCCACAAAACAAAGGAATGTTTTACACAAACAATAACTAGCACAGCCTTATGGGAGTGCATTATTGATTCAGTGCAAGCCACCTGTGGACCCTTATTGGTGTACAGCGTCTCAAGAGCAGCCGGGCTGCTTCAACCGATAGTTATGGACATCCAGACGTTAATCAGCAAGGACCATTTCTCGTCCTTATTCGACAAAATCTACGTCAACACGTAAAACAAAATTATAATTAGTGTTGTAGAGAATGTTTCTCCTCTACGTGTAACTTTTGAGTCGTATGCCTTGTAGCTGATGAATGATCCGAGTGTGCTCCCTATTTCAAAGACAATGAGTTGCTCCAGAGGGAGATGCTTCCTGAAAACACAAAAAAAACCCTTTGCCCTGTATCACAAGAACAATGAGTCTCACCTGAGTTACCTGTGTAGTGGGTTCGAATTAGGTGCACACACGACTCCTTGGGAGGCAACGCTGATTTATTAGAACGGTAAGTAATATAACACTGCACATAAGGTGGTGACCACCAACCTACTCTAGCTAACACATACTTATCAAATACTCTAGCGTGACCCAGAGAGGTGGGCTACTGCCAGGTCCGCTGACTGGAGGCTTGACTCTTCTTCGCGTCTTCACGATGCATCTTCGTTCTTGATACGGGCAGCCTCGAACCTTGTGAGGAGGCTGCTTATATGGGCCTCGGCGTGCCCGGGCCCCACCCCGGCCACGCCTCCCTTCGAAAACCCTCTCGAAGCCCCCCTGCTGTCCACGTGCCCTCTGAGGTGCCCCCTAGGCCCCCAGCCCCCACTGGGGTCCAGTCACGTGTCCAGCCGGGGTCACAGAGAGTGCCACGGCCTCACACCACCCTCGTGGCCTCCCGGAGCCCAGAACCGGCCCTGACGTCATTCCCGCCTCCAGCCGGGATGACGTCATGCGTGTGTGTAGACCCGCGTGGTCATGACGCGCCCCCACATAGTGACGTCACGCTTGTGCGTGTGTACACAGTAGTGATTCTACAATCACTACACCTGTACAGGTTACTTCCAAAACACACACTTTGTCCTAACATCACTTATTCAATGTTTGACCCTTATAGACAAAATCAGACAAGTATTCATTCTAAATTATTGAGTAATTTTAACAAAATTTTATTACTGCACTGAAATATGCTGCATCAGGTTACATCGTATTTTTAAAAATACGCACCGTCTGCTTAACAGTGTATGTACAACATACTCTTGCGCCATTCAAAACGAGTAGGCCATTGCATGCTGGCGTCTGGGTCAAAATGTATCAAATTCTAAACATTACCTACAAACTCCACAAATAAGATGCCACATCAACCATCGCCCCCTACTGACAGGCTCTTGTCCACATGCAGGCCGGTGTAGGGCCACCACCTTGTGCCACACAGGAGCAGCTGCTACTTGGGGGTGCTCTTCGAGTGTTTGAAACGAGATACAGCACAAAACTCCGAATTGCCAGCTTCGATTAAGCAAGCACAATATAAATGGAATTATTAGAACCTAGTGAATGCTTGGGAGATTATTGGCTCTCACTCCTAGTTAGAGATCTACCCAACCCACAGGTGCACAAAGACTGGCCGCTCTTACCCTGCAGGTTGCACCTAGGAATTGAGCGTTCAACTTCACATTCTTGTCATTAAAGGCCTGTGACAAAGGTGCATCTATTGGAGCGACATCGTCTCAAGCTTACACATCTAACGGGTCTCCATTTGACTTTGTATTGTCTCGGAGGAAGTCCACCCAAACCTCCACTTCCACAAACTGCTGAGAGTTGCCTCGCTCTGCCTCACAGTCAGAATTCTCCTCCTGCTTCACGTTGCCTCCATCGATGCGAAGGTCCGGTTTTGGAGTTGAATCTTCATCTTCACATTTTACCCTCACTTTTTCACTCTTCACCATCACTTCTTCACATTTCACCATCACCTCTTCATATTTCACCTCGATACCTTTAAAAGTGTCCAAGCTGGGATTTTCTTCCAGTTCTTGTTTCATGAGGGATGGGCTCATTGCGGCACTTTGACTTTCACAAGCTGATTTCAGACTCCACTCCTTGTGGATCTTCCGATGCTTGTGTGTTCTCTGGTGTCTTTGAAGATTTGATGAAAGTGCAAACGCCTTCCCACACACACTGCACTTGAAGGGTTTCTCTCCTATGTGAGTTCTCTGGTGTATTACAAGAGTAGATGAATGTGCAAACGCCTTCCCACACACACTGCACTTGAAGGGTTTCTCTCCTGTGTGTGTTCTCTGGTGTACATGAAGATGCGTTAACTGTGCAAACGCCTTCCCACACACATTGCACTTGAACGGTTTATCTCCCGTGTGTGTTCTCTGGTGTTTTACAAGAGTAGATGAATGTGCAAACGCCTTCCCACACAAACTGCACTTGAAGGGTTTCTCTCCTGTGTGAGTTCTCTGGTGCCGTGTCAAATGGTCAGGACGATCTGTGCTGTATGCACACCGATCGCATTGTTGCCTTTTTGCACCGAGCCGCGCCGAGTGCCTTTGCTCCATCAGACAAATTCTGCAGAGGAAGCGACAGCTGCAGACAGAAACAAGAATATCCCCACCATCTACACGTCAGTATCGATGCACAGAGGAATGCATATATACAGTCACACGTGACTTACATGTCTATACTTATTCATATATTCATTATATAGTGAAAAAGTGTCCCAAATTCATCACACGGGCTGTTATGGCACACAATGAGAGGGAAAATGGTTATAAACGTACCTAGAAGCCCTAGTATCTTCAAAATGAATGTTAACCCAGAACTCCGAGCACACAATTTCAGCTGTCTGGCATCAAAAGGAATAATTATGAAAGCTAAATTCAGCTGACATAGCAAAGGGTGTTGAAAATAATACTATTTGTGTTATGCAGAAATGCATAAATGAATGTTAAATCGCAACTTAGAGGTGTGAACCCAGGCAAAGATGTCCTTGAATGCTGGGATGAACACTTCCGACTTCTGCTGCACGTGTGCTGTGATAACTTCCTGACTCCATTCTTACAAAAAGTTCCAGAGGAAAACAAAAATAAACTACTATTTTGATATAACCTCCGTGCTCAATAGAGTTAATAGACTTTACTGCAAATACAAACTTGACCCTGTCACACACTCAGAGGTGGAGCCAGGATTTTCAGGTAGGGCAGGCAAGCCCTCCAGCAATGAAAAATGATAAGAGTTGTTAGTAAGTAAGGAGTTGTTAGTAAGTAAGGAGTTGTCAGTAAGTAAGGAGATGTTAGTAAGGACTTGTCCTATGCTTTTTATTCGACGCCTGTGATCGGCATCGCGTTCGCTGAAGGTGTTTGCCATCAGGGAAGTCGTGTACTGAATACGCAACTGCACACAATTGTGAATTTGTGTCTGTTTGAAATGTTCAGCAAACTTCCCAACATGCTACAAACTTGAAATTTGTAATGTGGATAGCTTCCAGACTGGACACAATGCACAAAGTATTCAAAAACTACTTTTTTATTTTGGGGGGGTGGGGGAAATAACCATGGAGTGTGTGGCGTCAACCCGCAACACAGATAAGGGAATATGAAATTTGAAATTAATCCAAGACAAGAATCCAAGTCCCGGGCGAAGCCGGGTAATGAAGTTAGTTACTAATAAACCCCAATGATCCCATCGAAATTAGGGATTTCGATCGGACCGTCGGGGGGGCACGTGCCACCACACCCCCACTGGCACCACCACTGTCACGCACTGGCATGGTGCACAGGTGGTGGTGTGTCCAGACCCACGCCTGGCCACCTTCACATGCTCAGAATTCATGCTTCCTCACTCCACCAAGTAGAGTGAACACCGCCACGCGTCTAGAGGGAACACCGCCACGCGTCTAGAGTGAACACCGCCACGCGTCTAGAGTGAACACCGCCGCGCATCTAGAGTGAACACTGCCGCGCGTCTAGAGTGAACATCACCACGCTGTTGACGAGCCTCACCTTGTGATGTGGGTAGGTCGCTTCTGAAAACAAAAGTGGTACAGCAGCTCAAGCGGGCTGGGCCTGGCAAAAAAGAATGAAATAAAAACTGCGTGAATATTTAAAAGAAAAACAAAGTGACAAAGTGGCGAGCCGTGTGAAGACAAATTAAACTTAAGCGAGAGAATTTAAGTAAACGCAATCAGGCGAGGGCAGGAGGCAAGGACCCGCGTGGCTAGGCCCCGCGCTGTAAACTTTCACATGGACATCGCTTCCATGCTCGCTGCTACTCAATTGACATCCCTACGAGAGAGAGAGCGAGGCTCTACCTCGGTAAACAACAACCACCACCACCACTACAACCACCAACACAACAACCACCGCAACAAACACCACCACAACAACAACCACAACAACCACAACAACCACAACCACCACCACAACCACCACAACCACCACCACTACAACCACCACAACAACCACCACCACAACAACCACCGCAACAACCACCACCACAACAACCACCACAACAACCACCACAACAACAACCACAACCTCCACAACAACCACCACACCAACCACAACCACCACCAGAACCACCACCACCAAAACAACAACCACCACAACCACCACCACAACAACCACCACTACAACAACCACAACCACCACAACAACCACCACCACAACAACCACCACCACAACCACCACAACAACCACCACCACCACAACAACCACCACCACAACCACCACCACAACAACCACCACAACCACCACCACAACAACCACCACGACAACCACCACCACAACCACCATCACAACAACCACAACAACCACCACAACAACCACCACAACAAGTAAAACTAAGTGACAAAGTGGCGAGCCGAGTGAAGACAAATTAAACTTAAGCGAGAGAATTGAAGCAAACGCGATCAGGCGAGGGCAGGAGGCAAGGCCCCGCGTGGCTAGGCCCCGCGTTGTAAATTTCCAACCTGGACATCGCTTCCATGCTCGCTGCTACTCAATTGACATCCCTACGAGAGAGAGCGAGGCTCTACCTCGGTAAACAACAACCACCACCATAACAACCACCACCACAACAACCACAACAACAACCACCACCACAACCGCGATGAGAATGTCTCACCTCGGATTTCAGTGCACGGCGGAGCAGCAGCTTCCTGTTACTTCGTGACGTCACGCAGCAGCAGGAGTTGACATGACGTCACTTGCGGGGTACAAAACACTCCCCTCCCAGAATGAGCGGCTCTGTGGGCGTGGGTGCCGAACTCGTCGCAATAAACTCGCGACGGCTTTCATGAATATATTATGTTAATGAGCCGCCAGTCACCGGGAGTAGCTTTGCCCAAACAAGGATTCTAGTTGAACAGGTAAGGGAAGTGACCCAGGCAGAGGTGACGTCACGCTCAAGGGCGCAGTGGACCGGGTGGGATGAATACCTTCGTGACATGACGTCACTAGCGAGGTACACCTCCCCCGGGCGTTTCACGCCGATGAGGTAATGCTGAGTGGGACGTCACAGAGCGGGGTTGGAGTTTAAGTTGATTTAGATTCATTTTCCCTTGCTCCCTCCCTTGATCAGAGACCCCTTAGGTGTGTGAGCTCAGCCACAACTGTGTGTGTGTGTGCACTGTATGTACGTGTACACTGTGTGTGTGTACACTGTATGTGTGCACACTGTGTGTGTACACACTGTGGGGGGCCCAGTCATCTAAGTCAGTCGACCAATGGCATTTTTTCATCAATTTATTATTTTCCAAATTTGTTTTTCTATTTACGTAACTTTACCGAAAGAACCAAGAATACGGTAGCACATTCTCTATTTATTGCAGAGATTCAAGGTTCAACACCGACAGACACACCTGGCTACCCCAGTAACATTCACCAAAATATGCACAGTCTGCTTAACGGCAGCTATAAAACATAGCGTTTTGTCATTCACAACGCGCAGGTCATTGCATATCTGTGTCACGGTCAAAATTGGGGTAATTCCAAACATTATCCAGAAACTACACAACGGAGATGACGCTTCAATGATCGCCCCCTACCGACAGACTCATGTCCACGTGCAGGCCGGTGCAGGGCCACCTTGTGCCACACAGGGGCAGCTGCTACTTGGGGGGGGGGGGGTCCTTCGCTTGTTTGAGATGAGATTCGATACGAAACACCGAGTTGCCGAGGCAATTAGGCAAGCGATTTATGAGTGCAAATATGATGTTGGTAACGTAGTGAATGCTTGGGAGCTTCATTGTCTCTCGCTCCTGCTGACAGATGTACCCAGCCCACAGCTCCACAGATACCAGCCGCTCCTCCTGTGCAGGTTCAGCTACGTACAGTGCAAAAGAAGTTCCAGAAACACAC